TTTTTAGATTTTATTTATTTATTTATTTATTTGAGAGAGAGCACAAGCAGGGGGAGAAGCAGACTCCCCGCCGAGCAGGGAGCCCGACACGGGGCTTGATCCCAGGACCCTGAGATCAAGACCTGAGCCCAAGGCAGACGCTTAACCGACTGAGCCACCCAGGCACCCTGTTAAGAATTTTTTAATATTAAGGCTATCAATTCTTAGGCATATGCTTCTCTTTAAAAAAAAAAAACTTTTTCAGGGATGGCTGCCATCACTGTGGGGGAGGGGAGGCACATACTCCGCTCGATGAGCTTTGTTACTGGGTTTGGGGCAACTGGTTTTTTAATATTCGTGTAGTTAAATCTATCACAATTTTCTTTTATAGCTTCCGCTATAGTCATTTTCTTATTCTTCTTCCTCATTCCAAGCAGTTCCAGCCTCTTCCATTCAGGGCGCGTTAATTAAGGGCCAGCTCTGGGTAAGGCAGGGCCCCATGTAGGCCCAAATTTGCATTTATGTGGTTTCAGCCTTCTCAGAAGTTACCACTTAACATGGGAAGGAAAAGCATTGGAAATTCCGAGGCAGGGTGGGCACCCTGACCATTGGGTGTAGAGTCGGGTGGGGGTGGGCAGGGAGAGATTAGGCCCTTTCTCCTCTTTCCCGTGTAATGCGTTTGGGGCACTTCTGCTTTGCCCTTCTAGACCGGGGAGGGTCAAAGCTGAAAAGAGTGAGATCACGTAGTATAGCGGCTTCCAGTCCACTGTTAAAACCCTAGTTTGTTGGGTATGTCACTGATAATTTTCAAATGATTTGCCCTTTCTATGAAATAAAATGGAATCAGTGTTATCTCCTGAACCCTATGCCAGCCAGCCACGTGTTTACATTTATTCCTTCGGCAGACATTGAGGGAAGCTGAGCTATTTGCCAGGCCCTGGGAATGCAGCAGTGGACAAAGCAAAGTTCCAGCCGTCTTGGAGCTTACGTCCTAGCCAGGGGAAACCATGATAAACAAGTGAATAAGTAAACAGGAGAATTACAGATTGAGGCGATTGTAGGAAATGGGGTATTTGGGGGTGGTGCCTCCGAAGAGGTGACATGAGCTGAGGTTGGGGGGATGAGGAGTCAGGTATGGAAAGACAAAGAATGAATGCTCCAAGCGGAGGGAGCAGCAGGTGCAAAGGCCAAGGGGCAGACAGGGTCTGGCATGTTCAGGGTAGAGAAGGGGGCCCAGCCAGTCTGGCATGGAGGGAGGTTAATGGGAGTGAAGACAGGTGGAGCCAGGTCAGGTAGGGCCTCAGAGGAGAGGCCAGCAAGTCATTGGAACTGTGGCTCCTGCAACATTTCATGAGGCCCATAGACTTTCTTATCTGCATCTCTCCTTGCTCTTTCCTGATGTGCTATAAATAGGTACTCACATGCTTAGTTAGCACACTCCAAGAAAAAGAGCCCGCTGCCCTGTTTGCTCTGTATTTTGTGTTGTTCAGATGTGGATGGAACCTGTGTCTGCCCTCGGGGGCTTGGCCATTCATGTGCTATAGTAGGGAGAAAGAGTTGAGGGTAGAGGGGCAGAGCCAGAGAGAGAAGCCCGCTATTCTGGGGAGAGTCCTGTGTTTGCTCGAAGGAGAGACAGAGCTGGCCAGCACAAGCAGAACCAAAGATGGGGCTGAGTGACTGCTGTTAGCTTGGATGGTTCTGGAGGCCTTGGCAAAGGGTCCCCCACCCACCTCTTCTCCTGCTTGAGTCGTAGGGCGGATTGGCTGGTGTGCCAGCCACTGCTAATGCTAGCCCATAGAGTGATTTTGTACAAACTAAAAAAAATGCCCCCTTCCTCAAGATACTGTACATCATCTGTTGGAAAATTGTGTAATATACCAATCTTGCTAGGGAAAGCTACTTGACTGCTATCTTAATATATAAATCTACAATGTGAATGGCACCCCTTAGATATGGTAGCATTGGGTACTATGGGTCGTGAATCATTAGGTGGTGGCCCCCACTGGGATCCCTGACTTGTCCCTCCTGCTGATGGGCCTCCTCCCTCCTGCCCGTTGCCATGGAAACCTCTGACTTGTCTTTTGTATGTCCTGGAAGGTCCCAAGACTGGCCAGAGGCTCTATACTGGTACAACACAGCCCTGGAGATGACAGACTGTGATGAGGGCGGTGAGTATGATGGGATGCAAGATGAGCCTCGGTACACGCTGCTGGCCAGGGAGGCTGAGATGCTGTTCACCGGCGGCTGCGGGCTAGAGAAGGACCCGCAGAGATCAGGTAGGGCCTGACTGACCTGCCACTGGGGGCGGGCAGGGCTGGGCCGGGAGGGACATAATTCCTGTCTCAGAGGGAACTACAGCAAGATGCAAGACGGAGTCTCTTCTTTCATTGGAGAGGAGAAAGATTCCTACTGGTTCTGTGTGCCCACATGGTGCTGGTTTAGGAGGGAGCTTTATGGAGCTGATATGCAGATGAACATTTTTATCTTAATGGTTACATATCAGAAGTTTGGTCTTTCAGCAGTTTTAAAAATTGACCTGACATTTTCATTCCATAAAAGTCACCCTTTTTAAGTGTATGGTTCAGTGGCTTTTAGTATATTCATCATGTCGTGCAGCCATCACCACTCTCTGATTTCAGAACATTTCCATCACCTGTTAGCAGCGACTCCCCCTCTGTCCCTGGCAACCACCAACCTACTGCCTGTCTGTATGGATTTACCTGTTCTAGATGTTTCATATAAATGGAATCATACAATATGTGGCCTTTTGTATCTGGCTTCTTTCACTTAGTGTCATGTTTTCAGGGTTCACCCATGTTGTAATGGGTATCAGTGCGTCATTCCTTTTTATTACCAAATGATATTCCATCATATAGATATACCACATTTTGTTTATCCCTTCATCAGTTGATCTGCACGTTTTGTATACACACGCACACACATATATTTTTTTTTCCGTTACATGATAAATATACTGAACTCCTGATTTCGTAGGACAGGCCTAAATTTAAAAGTTTAAAAAAATTTTTTAAAGGTGGTATATAAAAAAAACCTAAGCAAATAATAATGCAATTCTATAATCCCTTATTTGAAATTTCTAAATCCAAAAAAACTCTGAAAACCAAGTGTTTTTGTACACATTGCACAGATTTTCTTGGAAGCAAAACCTCTGCAGAACTGACACGAGGCTGCTTATAATCTTTTTTTCTTCCCCTTTCATGCATTCCCCGCAATGAGCCTTGTAAAAATCCTCAGTCTGGTTCTCATTGGCTCAGATGGAATCCCCCGCCCACCCCTAAACCAATCACTGAGCTCATGGAGATGGCTTACTCTGATTGGTTGTGCTTAAGTCTGGATGTCTGATTGGCTATCAGTGGAAGTCCGTAAGGCCTGGTGGGAATGGGAAGGGTGCTTTGATTGGCCAGGCTTGAATCACATGCCGGGCCAGGCTTGAATCACGTGCCCACCCAGGTTCCACGCAGGGCGAGGGGATAAGGAAGAGATTGGATATTTAAAGGAATCTTAGGGTGCTGTTCCCAGGTAGGGGTCGGGGGTCACGGGGCTGACAAAACAACAGGTGGTTCACCTCTCTGTGCCCCACTTTGCTCTTTTTCAGGCGACTTGTACACACAGGCAGCCGAGGCCGCGATGGAAGCCATGAAAGGCCGGCTGGCCAACCAGTACTACCAGAAGGCGGAGGAGGCCTGGGCGCAGATGGAGGAGTAGCTTGCCAGGAAAATCACTGCTGGCCAGTCCCAAGCAAAAGGGCTAAGACGTGGGGGCGGGTGGGGGGGTGGGTTGCGGAGAAGACTTATTGACTTATTTAGGGTTTTTTTTGGCGGGGAAGGGCAAGTATTTTTAGTGTGTTATAAATCAACTTTTGTATTGCGTCTTTTGACTCTTGAAAATGTCTTTGCTATTGGCGAAGACGCTACAGCTGTCCTTTAGGGCAGCATCTTGGGGAGTGGGGATTGAAAAAGCAGCGCAGTGAACCAACATATCGTTTTGAGCTTTTTTTTTTTTTTTTTTGGTCATGAGATCTAAGAACGTGCTTCTCTGCTATGGATAAAAAATAGGGCTTTGGGCTTGGCTCACCAGCTTTTTCAGGCTGTACTGAAATGAAATCTCAGGCCCACAGAACTTGTTTCCTGAGCTGTGATGAGGAAGATAGAGCTGCACGTTAGCTTTCCATGGGATGTGTATTATCATGACTTAGTGCAAAGCCTTACTTCTCAGAGCATTTGGAAGCATGATGGCATCCTTCTGTGGATGTGAGATTGCGCAGTACCCAGGCCCCCTTCCGCTGTTGGCAAAGGCCTGCACACTGACCGTTTGCTAATCTTATAGTTTAATTTCCTTCCCGAATGCAACTGATTTTCTGAAATACAGCCAAATTCCGTTTTTTTAGCATGCTTTCTACAGTGGGCTTTATAAAACAGGTTTAATTTTTTTGTATGCACACATTTACTACCTCTAACTTCTCCATCAGCTAGTGTGGAAGTGGGTGCGCCTCAAACCTTTTACATGTAAGAACAGCAACTTGGATTTGGAGCCTTTCCTCCAAGCTGACATATACTTCACATCTCAGTGGCAGCATCCATAGTGTAACTGAAGTATCTCTGTACAGTGTTCCTCTGTGTTTTCTTAGCATCTGACCTTCGTATGTAGGCTCTGTTCCCCAGCCCCTGTCCTTGCCATTTGCTGCTTGAAGCTGGGTAGCTTTTCTTGTAAATTGCAGCAGTAGGATTTCAGCAGCAACCCCTTGAGATTTATCTAAGATGTTTGAGGATGAGAGGGCAAGAACTATAAACACTCATTAATTCCAGTAGTTTCCCCAGGGCCAGGCTGTGGCTCTGTATTTAATGAGCTTTCCCTTTAAAAGGAATAAGATTTAATATCAGTATGATTTTAGCTGGTGTGTCAAGGCAAAGAAAACACACTGCTTTGATCAAGCCCAAGTGCTAAAGCAGCCTCTCTTTCTGTGTTAAAATGAAAACAAAACAAAACAAAAGCAGAATGTGACATACAAACCGTTCTTACCTGTCCATTAAAACAGCTCTTTCAATACATTACTGTTAAGTGCTGTGGAATTGTGAACCTGTGCAAGCATTTGAACCTTTGGTCCCAAAGTTCAGAGTGTGCACTAGGTGCAAAAAATCAAGCGGACTCAGAATTACCCTTGGAAAAATTCCTTTACCCAATCAAAAAGTTGGCTTGCGTTAGGTTTTTTGTTTGTGTGTTTTAAAGCAGTGCATATAGTTAAATTGCATATGGTTAATGTACTCGAGAAGCAGCTTCATTGTGACATATCTCTTATCTCCGTAAAGGGCCAGATAGTAAATATTGTAGGCTTTGTAGGTCATGGGGTCTCTGTTGTAACTACTCAGCCCTGCTGTTGTAGTGAAGAAACACCCAGGAACTGTACTTAAATGAATGAGCTTGGCTGATGTTCCAATAAAACTTTATTTACAAAAACAGCCTGCCTAGGCAGTAGCTTGAGGACTCTAATTCTTGAGTAAGGGTTACTACAGTATGTCCTGAAGGCAAAAGCTATCTCAGTTTTTCAGCTTTCAGTGCTCAAAAACACAGTGCCTTGGCAGAGTGAGCACTCGAAAAATGTGTGAGCAAATGGAGAGCCAACCCTAGTCACAGCACCTAATCCGTGGCTCTGAGTCTTCCAGCCAGTTAATGATTTGTTGTCTGAATTGACTTGCAATGTCAGTCCTCCAGTTCCAACCCACCCACCTCCATGGCCTTAACTCAGCCAGCTTCTCTTCCAGGAGGCTGGGTTATGGCTTGGATAGAGAGCTAAGCAAATGCTTATTGAGGACCAGTGAGAGTCAAATAATCTGCAAGATGCTGAGATTTTTCTGAGCCAGTAGGAGAGCTTATCCTACCTTCAAAACCTAGTTTTGTGCCTGCTAAAGCTGGTTAGAGCATCTTTTTTTTCACAGATTCTGGGCATGCAAAAACAAAAGACAGAGAACCCCAGGACATTCTGGCCCAATTGGGAAGACATCAGAGACCATCTTCAAGAGCGAGTAGCAGGTGGAGGTCCAAGAGATCAGCAGAGTCTGGAATATAGTCCCGTATCTTCCGACATAGATGGAGAAACCAGGGTTTTGAAAGACAGACTCTCACAGTGACAGTGCTGGTTAGCAAGCTAGCTGCAGCTAGGATTTGAAAGCTGCTGTTATTTAGAGGATCCCAGGGATAAAATTTAAAATTAGACTAGAGTGTCATGTCCCTTTCAGCTTTGCTATTGTTTTGTTGTTTCTTTTTTTTTTCTTTTAAGCAGACTTCTATGGATGTAAGAAGGAAAAAAAAAAAATCCCAACCCCAGGGCATCTGAATATCCCTGCGCCTCCCCTCCCCTGAGGCACTGTGGGAATTCATCATCAAATGCAAACTTGGGGAACCAAGCCCGGTAAAGTGCCCTCGTTGTCATCTTAGTGATTTCCTTTCATCCCAGCACATTTGTCTGCTGTACTGGACATGATTTACAAATCGACACGTTTCCAAAGGCATACGCAGCTTGTGTGGGGGGAAAGGAGACAAAATATACATATTCTCTGCATGGATTTGTGCCTGTTAGTCCTGTTTCTAGTCTCAAGTAACCATTTAACCTAGACGAGGTGGACCCTGGGTGGGGCCCAAAGGAGAGGCCTGTGTTACCAATTTATTTTTGCATATGTATTCAGTTCCATATCATCTTTTCAAATAAAGTGGTTTCTTTCTTTCCGGTCTCAAATTCAAATGCCTCCTAGTAACAAGGGACGGAGGCTGCCTGGATGAAGCAGCTTGGGGTGGGGGGGCGGCCCAGGCCCCATCTGAAAGGAGCAGCTGGGATTCAGCTCCAAGTGACTGTCACCACAGGAAATGCGTGGGCACCATGTTGCCCATTTTTCAATCTTTCAAGAGCTGAAATTTTTTGTTAATGCAAGTTCTCCTGATTTTTAATATTTCTAATAAATTCTAATTTTTTAAAAAAAATTTTGTCTAGATTTGGCCTTGTGCTGTCCTTTTGCTTTAAAGTATGTGAACCTCTTTTTTTTTTCTTTTCCTGATTTTTCTCATCCATAAAATAGAAAGGATAATCTTTATATGTCGGAGCTGTCATCTGCCACAAAGAAGATAATGCCTGTTAAAGATGCTTTGTGATCCAGAACTTAAGAAAATCTTGGTCACCAGTATGATTGTTTGGTTTCAAACTAATGCTTTTTTAACTTAAAGAAATTTGAACATAAGCATAGTACATTAAAGTCACACGCTTAGGTCCATTGGCTCCTGAGGCCCCACTAAAATGACAGGAAAGAGATTTTCTTAATGGCAGAAGCTCATGAGGCTGGAGAGCAGAGGGATCATAGTTGAATTAGCACTGAGAACCCCGCTGCCCCCAAAGGCTGACGCATTGGCACCAGGAACCTCTGGAAGGGAAGGGGAAGTGAAATGGGGCTAAAAATACAGGGTCAGTTGAAAGACTTAAAGTATCAGACTACTAGACCAGCTTACCTCCCCATGTAGCCAGCCGGCTGCCGGTCCATCACCCTGGAAGGCCAGGCCAGTAGAGAGTCCAGCTACTCTACAGAAAAGAGGGTTAAGGGGAAGTTTCCATATTGGCTCTAGAGGCTTCACCAGCCGCCTTTTCCCTCCTGTGTTGCCAGACATTGGCAGCTTGACTTTGACCCTCCTGGCAGAAGGCAGACTAGAGAAACCCCTAGGGAATCTGTGATGAACTACTTAAAATGTCCTTCCTCCTAATGAAACTGGCTGCAGGGAGCACCTCACTGGAAAGACCTCAGCCACCCAACCCCACCCACATCCACGGGAATTCCCACAACTTTTAGAGCCCTATGCTGCTTCCTTTTTTTTTTTTTTTTAAGATTTATTTATTTATTTAAGAGAGAGATGGAGAGTACAAGGAGGGGGAGAGGGAGAGGGAGAAGCAGACTCCCCGCTGAACTGGGAGCCCGATGTGGGGCTCGATCCCAGGACCTGGAGATCATGACCTGAGCCTAAGCAGACGCTTAACCATCTAAGCCACCCAGGTGCCCCTAGAGCCCCATTCTTAAACTTGAATAGCCAGTCAAAGATCCCTATGTAAGGATCCATAAGCACTTCATATAGAAGACACTAGAACAAACCAACAGAAGAGACTATCTTGGAGCAAACAAAATGTAGGAAGAAGGAAACCTGAAGAAACAAAAAGCTATGGTTAATTTCCTTAGCTAAGATATTGCAGGGGTGGGGTGCCTGGGTGGCGCGGTCAGTTAAGCGTCTGACTCCTGGTTTCAGCTCAGGTCATGATTTCAGGGTCCTGGGAGATCAACAGAGGATCCTGGGGTCGAGCCCCACATCAGGTTCCAGGCTCAGTGTGGAGTCTGCTTGAGATTCTCTCTCTGCCCCTCCTGCTCATGCTGTCTCTCTCTAAAATAAATAAAATCTTAAAAAAAAAAACTATTACAGGAGTCCTGGCTGGCTCAGTGGGTGGAGCGAGGGGCTTTTCATCTCGGGGTTGTGGTTATGAGCCCCATGTTGAGTGTAGATATTACTTAAAAATAAAAATCTTAAAAAAATTCTTTGCATCGGGCACCTGGGTGGCTCAGTTGGTTAAGCGACTGCCTTCGGCTCAGGTCATGATCCTGGAGTCCCTGGATCGAGTCCCGAATCGGGCTCCCTGCTCGGCAGGGAGTCTGCTTCGTCCTCTGACCCTATCCCCTCTCATGTGTTCTCTCTCTCTCATTCTCTCTCTCTCAAAGAAATAAATAAATAAAATC